TTAGCAATGCATATTACTGATCAAAAATTAAGTTTTGATATATTTACGGTAGGACATTTACAAAATATCTTCATGGAACATGATCTTTACTTAATATCCTAATGATTTTTGGCATAAAAGGAAAATCTATAATTGTGACCCATACAATGTATTGTTGGCTATTGCTACAAATATACCCCAGCGACTTAAAACTGCTTTTGTGCTCCAGGGTCACATATTATAGTAAAATATGTCAGAATTTAATGATGGCAAATGATATACAATCAAACTCACCTGTTCTTCTCCTCCAGCTCTTTATTGGCTTTCTTCTTGAACTTGGGCAGGAGCTGCTGCAGGAGTTCTTTGGCGACGTCTCTGTCCTTCAGTGCTGTGCTCTCATTGGCGAAATGAAAGGTGGTGCTTTCTCCCGTGTGCAGAACCAACTGAAGCTGGATCTTCGCCTTACCATCAGGACTGATCTTCTGACCTGCATATGAGAAAAACAAAAGCTTTAGGATCACATTACTAACTTTGGTTTAAAGCAGAAAAATGTTTTATGTTTGATTTGAACACACACACACACATACACACACACACACACACACTGTATGTATTAATTAAATACCTTTTCTATTTTAAAATGTAATTTATTCCTGCTATCAAAGCTGTATTTTCAGCATCATTACTCCAGTCTTCAGTGTCACATGATCTTCAGAAATCATTCTAATATGCTGATCTGCTGCTTATGAAACATTTCTGATTATTATCAATGTTGAAAACAGTTGTGCTGCTTCATATTTCTGTGGAAACCGTGATACATGTTTTTCAGAATTCACAGATGAATATAAAGTTTAAAAGAACAGCATTTATTTGACATAGAAATTTACATTATAAAGGTCTTTGCTGTCACTTTTGATCAATTTAATGCATCCTTGAAGAATAAAAGCATTAATAGAAGTGTTACATAGATAGATATAATATAATGAACATAACATAGTAACAATATTATATATTACTATACTGCAAAATATTGTATTATTTGTAATATATATTAATTTATATATAAACAAGCTGTTTTCACACACACACTGTATGTATTAATTAAATACCTTTTCTATTTTAAAATGTAATTTATTCCTGCTATCAAAGCTGAATTTTCAGCATCATTACTCCAGTCTTCAGTGTCACATGATCTTCAGAAATCACTCTAATATGCTGATCTGCTGCTTATGAAACATTTCTGATTATTATCAATGTTGAAAACAGTTGTGCTGCTTCATATTTCTGTGGAAACCGTGATACATGTTTTTCAGGATTCACAGATGAATATAAAGTTTAAAAGAACAGCATTTATTTGACATAGAAATTTACACTATAAAGGTCTTTGCTGTCACTTTTGATCAATTTAATGCATCCTTGAAGAATAAAAGTATTAATAGAAGTGTTACATAGATAGATATAATATAATGAACATAACATAGTAACAATATTATATATTACTATACTGCAAAATATTGTATTATTTGTAATATATATTAATTTATATATAAACAAGCTGTTTTTGAATAATTTTTTTACAGTTCTTAATAGGAGTGAGCAGAAACTGCTGAGCTCTTTTGCCACAAATTTCATTTCCATGGGAACAGTGACTATTGAACATGATTTTTAGTCTGACTTGTTTCTACATTAGCATCACTGAACAAGCTCAGAGCTCATGGTAGGTTTGTCTTGAGGGTAACCTACTGTTACTGATGACTGCTTCTCCAATCTCAGAAAGTTCAACGCGGGATTCGTAAACCGGTTATCTTCTGAAAGATGAGTCAGTGCCCAGTTTGTTTTGAACAGTTTGCTCCTCCGAATCACAACCAGTAAGTATGATTATAGTTCTGCTAATCAGCTGTGGGCCCGCTATTGTCTAGAAATGTGTCGATTAATTTAGATTGTCTGTTGTACTTGGCGTCATGATAAAGGATGGAGCAATACGTTGGCTTACAAAAAAACTGCAGTACTTTATCAGTACTCTGTGTTCGGCTAACACATATACCATTATTGTTTGGGTCTTTACTAGCAAGCTGTGGGTCCGGTTTGCTACATTGTTGCGTGATTTTTTCTTTTTAGAACAGAGTGGAGCACCATTATTATTATAATAGGATGAATTATTGATTGATAAGCCGTATTCCAGTACTGATGATGGGCGGTCTGTTTCCGACATGCGCTGTACGCAGTAGACCAATCACAACAGACTGGGTCATCGGACCAATCAGAGCAGAGTAACATTATGCAAAGGAGGGGTTTGGACAGATGAATCTTCAAACGAATCGTTGAGAAATAACGTAAAATTAAATGCATATTATAAGAAAATGAAAGTGTTTTTGACCTGCATGTAAACCTGTTGTTGGGGACTCCCAAACCAAATTATAAACATTTCAAGTAGCATTTCACTTTAATTAGGGTTGAATCTAAACTCTGCAGGGCTCCGGACCTCCAGGAACTGAGTTTGACACCCCTGCTCCACACCAGCGAAACCCACATGAGGGTGTAGAGCAGGCTTGCCGCGATAGACGGTCTTGACGGTGATACCGGTGTTAAGCCGCAACACCGTTACGTCACTTGCCCACCGCAGCACCGACCCCCACCGTCAATTTGATTTTTTGTAGTAGCCTAATAAAAACCATTTAGTTCAGTAAAAGAACAGACACTACGATTAAAAACTGAATGCGGCTGCTCAATGCAGCGTGCCGAACGACAGCATCACAGATCAGATTTCATTTATCCAGTGAGGAGAGAGAGTCGAGCTGACTGACAAGAAGAGTGGGGTGAGACAGACAAGACGATCGCGGATGATTTAGTTTCGAAACGAGATGCAAAAGGTGTTGCGTTTATAATTTTGTTCAGTGTATAAACATTTCAAATAGCATTTCACTTTAATTAGGGTTGAATCTAAACTCTGCAGGGCTCCGGCCCTCCAGGAACTGAGTTTGACACCCCTGCTCCACACCAGCGAAACCCACATGAGGGTGTAGAGGCGGGAATCTGAGTGAAACTCACAGCGGATGTCGGCATACAGGTGGCTGACAGTGAAGCGGTCCTTCCCTTCCGGACCCCAGGCGAGCCGCTCAGCCATCAGATACAGAGTCCCGTCCTGCTTCCTCTGACGGACCCTCTTCACCACCAACAACACCTCCTCGGACAGAGACGCCATGGCTACAGAGAGAAAGGGAAGAATCTGATTAATCATGCAGGACATTGAGATCAGAGATTTATAGACAGCTCATCACATCATTTTAAAACCCGTTAGAAACCTGGGCAGGGCTGTGAAGAAGGGTGTGGAGTTCACAGCCCTCAAAAACCATAAAAACATGCAGAAAAAAGACATCACGTCAGAAGATCAGATTCAGAACCGATGTCAAATCATATCCATATCAGATATGACAGCAGATTCAGATCAGACTCAGAATTTAAATGCAATCAGATTCGGATCGGGATCAGATATGACAGATTCTGACTGAGAACAGATATTAAATCATATTCTGAATCATAACAGAAGAGATATTAAACCGGATATGATTCAGATTCATTTTAAGACCTGACATTAAATTAGATGGAGAATCAGATCAGAACAGATATTAAATTAGATATTCAGATCAGACTCAGATTAGGACCCGATCAGATTCAGAATCAGTTTAAGACCTGATATTAAATCATCTTGTGAATCAGGACAGAACAGACATTAAATCAGACATGACAATAAATTCAGATCAGACTCAGAATAGAAATTAAACCAGATTCGGTTCAGATCAAATATGACAGATTCTGACTGAGAACAGATATTAAATCATATTCTGAATCATAACAGAAGAGATATTAAACCGGATATGATTCAGATTAAATCAGATTAGGAACCGTTCAGATTCAGATTTATTTTAAGACCTGACATTAAATTAGATTGAGAATCAGATCAGAACAGATATCACATCAGATATGAGAATAGATTCAGATCAGATTCAGAATCAGTTTAAGACCCGATATTAAATCATCTTGTGAATCAGGACAGAACAGACATTAAATCAGACATGACAATAAATTCAGATCAGACTCAGAAAAGAAATTAAACCAGATTCGGTTCAGATCAGATATGGCTAACAGCACTAGCACACATCACCTATTCTTCCCAAAAACCTTTACTAAAGTCAATAAACCGAGACTCATTTTCAGTATATGTAAAAATAAAGACCCTAAACTACTGGTTCTTAAAGTCAGAGACATTTCAAACATAACAAAACACATTTTAAACACATTTAAAGGTGATGAATCTGAAATCTGCACCTGGAAGCTGAACTCATCCACACAGCCGGTGACTTTCATTAAAGTGCTTTATTTCAATACAATAACCCCTCACCTGGCGCTCCAAGACTGCTGAAGCCCAAGCCTCAATGTTGATCTTGTGGTAAGCGGAGTGAAATCAGTGTAAATGACAGTATTTGTGTTTTATTTACAGTCGTAACGGACACCGTGAGTGACAGCAGCTCTCAGATCCGCCATGGAAACAGAGCGAAGCCGGAAACCGTGACGCCTTTCCGGTTACAAAACGGGACGGATTTCAAAATTAAAGTTCTGTATATGGTCAATGGATTCAGGTTTTATGATATAATGTAAAATAATATAAAATAATATGATATAATATAGTATAATATGAAACGGACTGTATTTCAGTCATAAAACTTTTATTATAGATTGTATTTTATTTTTAATCGGAACGTGAATTTTATTTTGACAGAAGACAGCGCTCATGGCGTTTCTGATGGAACTTAATTTAACTGTGTGTGTGTGTAAGCGCGTGCGTTCTCTGTGAAGCGGGATAGCTCAATGCATTGGTTTGGCTTTGGTTTCAATGGCTTTGGTCAGATTAGCCAGGCAGATGTGAGCGGACAGACTGTGAAGTGTAACGTGAACACACCAGTCCTGCTATCAGAGATGTGTAGATCGTGTGTGATCAGATCAGACTGTAGAGTCAGAGGCAGCTGGAGCTCCAGAGCTGATGTGCATCACACAGACTGTAAGTAAACTATGAGTAACTAAATTATTTGCTTAAGTATATGTTTTTACAATATAGTCACATTTCTAATCTTACTATTTTACTATTTTTCAATTTACATAGCTTACAATATTAGTCACATAGTTTCTAATCTATAATAAAATAATAATAAAATAACTTGCTGAAATGTACAATCTCTGGGGGTCCCAAAAGTGCGTGGGCCCTTAGAATCGTCCTAACTTCCCCCCCCTTAGCGGCGCCCCTGAGTAGCGTTGCTATCTATGCAGAGTCAGAAAGCTCTCGGATTTCATCAAATGATTTTCTTAAAGTTTTTTTTTTGTTTTGTTGTTATTGCGCTTTTTTTGCTATTACAGGGATAATTTATAATAATAATAATAATACAACAAAATAAAATAGAAACAAAACAGCAAAATACAGAGGAAGGAAAACACATACACGTTGTATATAGAATATATAACTGAAATAATAATAAATCACAGGATACCTAGCATTCTGCAAATATAATTCAAAGAGATATTTTAGGAATATGCATGTATAAGTACCCACAGGTTCACCTGAACACAAGTCCATACATACATAAGTATATACATACACCTACATGCATATATATATATGTGACCCTGGAGCACAAAAGCAGTGTTAAGTCGCTGGGGTATATTTTTTAATTCCCAGGGCTAGCATATGTTCCACCTCTACACCTAGATATTTAAGAAAGGGTTGATCTCTCAGTGCTGCGGAGTAGGCTTCGTTAGGCAGAAGTGCCTTAGCGATACTTACCCACTGGGCCACCGAAGGGGTTATGGCCGGTATCCACTGCAACAAAATGCACTTGCGAGCACAGTGTAGCAATATTTGCAAGAGATGAGTACCTTTAAAGCCATGAGGGAGTTCCTGTGTAAGGCCCGGTAGGCAGATCTTAGGTCCTTTAAATAGATGTTTTATATTGTTTCCTACAATATGTCACGTTTACTATTTCTAAAGTATGAGTTAATACAAAAATTTTTTTTTTTACAAACAGTATGCATTTTGTTTAATTTTACAAGCAACATACATTTGGACTATTTTTTAATATTTTAACGTATATTTATATATATATCTATAACCCAGGTAAATGTTGGTTTCAGGTGGCAGTCATGTGTGTGTGTCAGGGTTCGTGTCTGGTTCATCAGAGGTTCGTGGAGGCATTTTTCCAGAGAGTCTGGGCTGCACAGACGCTCTCATCAGTGAAAGATACCTGACACTCAACTTCACAGACCGAGTGGAATGCTGGGAAATCCAGCACCCACAAAACAAGCTTGTGTGGAAGAGAGAGCAGGACCTCTCTGACAACACCGGTAACATACAGATGACTATTTGCAGTGTTTGGGGGTAACGCATTACAAGTAACGCGAGTTACGTAATCAGATTACTTTTTCAAGTAACTAGTAAAGTAACGCATTACTTTTTCATTTACAAGAAGATATCGGAGTTACTTTTTCAAATAAAAGCTCTCCTGTCCCCATCTTGAGAGAAATCGGGAGTAAGATGTTACTTTAGTTCTAGACTAAATGTGAACATGCATTAATTCATCTCACTCACTCACAAAAAAAAAAAAAACAGATTCAGTTTTTCTCAAAAATAATAAAATTAATAAAAACAACTCAGAATATGATGCAAACCTGCAATAATTAAATATGTTAAATAATACAAATACCCTTTACGTATTTAATCCCATTTTATTAACCAGTGTCTTTGCTGCTGACCTTCGATGATCCAGTTCAACCGTACTAATAAGCAAAAATGACTCAAGATAAACTAACATTTGTTCTTTATTTTATTGCTGAAGAGTGTTGAACTTCCTCCTCCTGAATTCTACTGTACAGATGTGAATTTACATTTCCTTCAGCCTGAGGGTTTTGGTGTGAAAGGTTTTTTTACGTTTGCCAAAAATAGAACTTTTTATATTAAAACCGAACAAACAAGCCCTGCCGAGATTTAAAAAGTAACGTAACGCATTACTTTCCATAAAAAGTAACTAAGTAACGTAATTAGTTACTTTTTTTTAGGGAGTAACGCAATATTGTAATGCATTACTTTTAAAAGTAACACTTTTGTAACTGATCATGTTGTCATAGTGAATCTGTTGCTAGTATGATGAACAGTGTTGGGGAAAGTTACTTTTAAAAGTAATGCATTACAATGTTGCGTTACGCCATAAAAAAAGTAACTAATTACGTTACTTAGTTACTTTTTATGGAAAGTAATGCGTTACGTTACTTTTTAAATCTGGA